ACGACGACGAAGAAGAAGAAGAAACAACCGCCGTAGACAGGCGTGAGAAAATTGGAAAAAGGATCGAACGACAAGTAAGAAGTAACGGTAATGGAGAAAGACGTAACAAGGGGGTGTGGTAGGTGGGGATATAAGAAGAGAGAGAGAGAGAGAGAGAGAGAGAGAGATAAATAGATAGAGAGAGAGAGAGAGAAAAGGTCTCGCGGTATCGGCACGGAAGTCGCGTCGTCTATTACGAGCACGGATAAACGGCCGAGCTGATGCTGTGGTAGGCGGCGAGGGCGGCGTGCGCGTGCGCAGGGGGCGCGGATGCGGCTGCGTGCGGCGAGGTGGCCATCGCGGATGCCGCCGCGGCTGCCATCATCATCTGTTGGTGCGTACGCTTTAGGGAGTTGGGAGTTGTGGCGGCGCTACTTGGGGTAATAGCAGTAGTAGTGGTGGTGTTCGACTGCGGCGCAGGGTGGTGGTTTTGGCTTTGGTTTTGGCTCAGTTGCAAGGGGGTGGTAGTGGCGATACTGCCGATACCGGCGTGATTATTATTATTGTTATTATTATTCTGGCTCTGGTGGTGATGGTGATGGTGGTGGTGGTGGTGGTGGTGGGGGGTGATCGCGTCGTGCGGATAGTAAGACGTTGACGATGGTGAGGTACTCACGACGTCCGGCGTGCTGGCTCCGTCCGTGTGGCTGGTGCTGTCCGCTGTGCTCCTTGGACCGCCACCGTCTAGACCGTTGCCAATCTCTGGCGGTTTCGAGCTCTCCCTGTCGTCGATTACTAGGTCGATCGGCATCTTGCCCTTTAAGCAGCTGATGTACCGGTGGCAGAAGTTGTCGCACAGTTCGTGAACCTGTTGATCAGAGAAAAACAACGTCTACGTTAATTTTCATTTCCTTTAACATTCTTCAAATATTCTTACAAATAGCACGTGAAGATGAAAAACAAGTTTCGGAGATATTTCGAAGAAGACTTTTGCTTTCAACTACGATATTCAAGCGCGATTTAACTCGACGGTATATCCCGTGGTCCCCAGGCAAAACGTTCACCCGGTATTTTCACCTCGGAGCCACCACGGTGTACCAAAAGGGCCGCGCGGGATGGCGAGGCCGATACGAGCGTTGGTATCGATACACAAAGATGGAGAAGGCCGGTGAGAAGAGCTCGTTGCATCTCGAGGCCGTGTAGAAGCGGTTCGACGAGCCGTGCCGCATCCTCGATAGGGAGCCAGAGCGAGAAGGAGCGAGGAGGTCTGACCGGTGTCCAGTCGACCAGAATGTTATGTATGCAAATGAGGTCTGACAGGCCTATAGGATACCCGGTCCTCCAGCGTCCTCCTCACGGTTCATCCTCCTCCCGTTCTTCCCCCCCTGACCCTGCCTTCGTCCCCCCCTTTACCCTGGACCCTCGACTCACTCGCTTCGGCCTGGTCGCTCGATTCGGTTTAGAAAAAATGTATTATATAAGCAAAAGCAAATAAAAACGCTTATCTTGTTATATGTAAATCGACGAGAGGAGAAGGCGGAGGAGGAGGAGGAGGAGAACGAAGAGAAGGAAAGAGAGAAAGAGAGTGGTCAGGCACATTACGAAGCGGTGTGTCTTCTCTCGTTGCAAGCGCGTACACGCGCTTTCTTCCTAGGCTTCTCTCTTTTCTTCTCTAGGCTAGCCTAGCTAGCTGCCTCCCGGCAAACCTATCCACCTAGCAGATACTTATACGACGTTCTTCTTATTAGGCATTTATATGTAATAGAGAAGACGGCCATCTTTGCCGTAGGCGGCACCGTCCAATGGTGGAAGGCCGTGGCCGACACCGACCACCGTAGACAATGCACGCGTTTATCATGCGTTAAGCGTATGCGAGAGGACGGTTGATCGGACGCGATCCATGGGACTTGTGCTCCTCTTTACAGAGATCGTGCAGTACTGTACACGCTGTTGAACCTCCGACGCGTTACTGTTCGACGTGTTGCTATAACATGTGCGATATCTCACGATACTTCTCTCTCTTCTTTTTATAGTACTCTCCCATATACCATGCTCGGTGTTCTCCATGGGAAAATCGCGTCCATGGACAACCGACAAAGACCATACACCACACAGGGTCACCAATCTCTCTCTTTCTCTCTCTCTCTCTCGCTCTTTCTACCTTAGATTCTCATACACATCTTCTTGCAGAGTGTTCACCAGAATTTTCTCCGAAGTACCAACCGTGCCACGCGGTAACACAATGCCTCCTCGAGATGACTAGACTCTCTTTAACGCGGGGACCAAAAGGGCGGCGAGAGGGGGCGGAGGAGAAGCTCGAAGGACAGCGGCTATAATGCCGGACTGGTTAGAATTTGATCCGCCGGGAGTCGAGTCGAACCGGCCGACAATGCTCACCGAAGAAAAGAAACGGGGGCCCATCTTTCCTTCTCTCTTTCTTTTTCTCTCTCCTCCACGGGCTGGATCGCCGAAAGGAGTCCGCTCTTGCTGAGAAGCGTTCACCTACACAAGCGTTCACCCCGATACCGTCGCTACGGTGTGTCGTTCATGTGAGTGGATACGCGGGAACACGGATATCGAGCCATTTTTTACCGTTCGTACACACGCAAAAATCCGTTTTTCGAACTGTTCTCTCGCGTGAAACTCGAATATCGCGGCACCGCGTGACTATTCGACTTCCGGTTCGAGGAAAACACCTAGAGGACAGTTCATATCGGTGTTGACAAGAGAGGGAGAGAGAGAGAGAACGCGTAACCCTCGACACCGACACCGATGCGTTCCCCAAAAACCTCTTCTCCAGTATTCGGCTCATGATCTAGAACATGATACGATGCACCGCGGACGCGAGTTTTTGCAATCTATCGGCCCTTTGAATCGCGTCATCCTACACCGCAGACGATCATCCCGGCCCTGCTGACACAGGATCCAAAGGAGTCTTGACGACATGCTCTCGGTTCTTCACTTCTATAGTAGAGTATCGTTACGGTCCTCTTCAGGTTTGCAACTTTTCGAGATCAGCAGAGTGTTTGTTTCAGTGTCTTTGACAGGTGATCGGACAGTATGGATTCTTCAAGTGGAACTGGAGGATCTTAGGCATCTTTCGAGAGACTTTTAAATTCAATCTCTTGCAGTTACATTTTCTATTAATTTTCAAAAATCGCTACATCTTGAACCTCTTAACTGTACTTCCCTTTTCAAACAGAAATCGAATCTCTCCAGTTTACAATTAAAAACGAGCGAGAATTATAACCAATTACTTTCTTTTCGTTCTTGCAAATACGAATGTGCAGTTAAAAACGAACAATCCCTCGATAGATAAATAAATCGTGTTCCAAGTATTGCCTAATCAGTTAAGAGGTTAACCGGCAACAAGTGTACAAATTGTATCTGCACACTTTCGCATATATCATATCCTTTCACCGTTCGCACGGCCGCACGGTTGACACAGTATCCCCCTGTCCTAGAGCCAAGGATACGCTAGGTGGCGTAGCACTTCTTTGGTATCTAATTCATCCAAGCGGGGACCAGCTTCTCGGATTTTCTGATACGAACGTACGCATACAATCTACGAAGGAGGAAGAAGAAGGGCACGGAAAATATCGAGTGTCTCAAAGGCTCGCCGTTTCCTCTTGATTCTCCACCAGAGAGAAAGCTCTCCTTCTCCTCTTCTCCTTTTTCTTCTTCTTCTATCGACGATGAATTATCCGACGAAGTGCGGCGTATTTAATTTCCGCGCGCGGTTCGCGAGTATCACCGCGAGCGTAAATTTTCTCCAGGCCCTCTACGGACCGAAATAAAAGCCATGGAAAAAGGGAGAAAGAGAGAGAGCGCGCGCCAGCGCGAGGGTATAGTATCGTTTTCATCGCGTCCCCGCGAACGCTTCTCGTGTTCCCCCGTAAGGTACATGCGACACCGGAGGCAACGCCATTACCGGAAGGTGGCTCTACAAGCCGGCAGAAGAAGAAGAAGAAGCTGGCTCTCTCGATGGCCGCGCGCGATACCCAGCCGCGACGACGCTGTCGCCTGTAACTCGAGATTATTCCCATTTTATGGCCGATTTAACAAGCTCCACGCGGACACGGGGGTGGTGGCTCCGTAGCTCGCGCACTGCGGAAATTTCACTGCAAGATTTCACCCTTCCTCGACCGAGCGACGTTCCTGGGTATCGTGACCACACGGGTAGAGTTGCGAAATTGTAATTAAGCAGGTGAATTTATCATTGTCGGTGGTGAACACGTAGGTATCCAATTGTGCAACGAAGATGTTGCAGAAATAGAAGACGAACGTTCTATTTACATCGTATTTCTTCACGTCCCTTTCTATCTTCAAATTTATGGCCAAATTCTCCGTTTTCCACAGCTACACAGATACTTCCTTAACCCTTTGCTGAATAGTCTAGTTAAACTGCACTCATTTACCCACCGCACAGTTTGCACTTATTTCAATATTTCAGCGCGACATTAGTTATAAAATATGAAATTTCAAGGGTATCAAAGGCAAAATTTTCTCTTCATTTTCACTCCTTCCACGTATAATATTCAACAAAGTCTACCCCATTACTCCACGAAAAAATAGAAAGAAAAAAAGAAATTCCTCCACCCGTGTGTTTACGCCCGGTCGAATTCCCCGTTGCTGAGAGGCAGAAGAAGAGAGAAGAGAGAGAGTTCAACCAGTTCGCGAGGACGACAACCACGGGGAGAAGAAGCGTGTCGTCTGTGGAACAGAGAGCAGCCGCAGGCCCTTCGTTCGAAACGAGTTCTCGATTCAAAGACTTCTTAAACGGCCCGTTGTCCCCTCTGCCCCTCCTCAACCTCCTTTCTCCTCCCCCTCGATCGCGCGAGGGGAGGTTCCGCACGAGGCGACATTATACCACCGCGACGTTATTCCCCTCCTCCTCTCTCACTCTCCCTCACTCCTTTCATTCGGTCGCCGAAATTACTCGAGAATTTACGTAAACGAAGGAACGAACGAGCAAGTGTCTCCCCATCCTCCTCCTCCTCTTTTGCTCCTTCCGCCATCCTCTCTTACCCCCTTTTCTGTTGACGGCCCTCTCGGAAAGGCAAGCGGCACGAAGAATGGAACGGATCCAGGGTACGCGCAGGAACACAGCGCGAGAGTAAAGGAAAAGGAAAGGAAAGAAAGGGGAAAAAAAGGAATGAAAGAAAGATTGAGAGAGAGAGAGAGAGAGAGAGAAACAGAGCGAACCCCATTTACGGCACAATGGGCTCCTTTGAAGCCGAAGGTAATGAAGGTTTCGGGGTGTCTGTCTCGGTTCCTCTCCCGTGGCCCGATTCACAACCTGACCACCCCTTACAGCACGCACAGGATACCCATATACCGGGTGTGTGCCTACAAACGACTCGTACCGATCCTTCCACCGGCTGTCGATCACGTCATAGAGGGGCCACACTCTCCTTTCGATTTCATCGTCACGAATATCATCTTCTAAAGAGACGGACGATAGGTATGACGACTACTTTACTTGTCGTTTGTGTTTACAGGATGATTGCACTAATTCGGTACAAGAGCTTTTTCGTCTTGTTGCCACGACTGTTCAACACGTTCTTGTTCGACGTGACAGGATTTATGAGTGCTTCGTGAAATTAACCCTTTCGTTAGTACCGGCGCCTGTAGGCGTTTATAAATTTGCTCGGGGTATATGTTTCGGAGCCTTTTGGCGCAATTGTACCTTAATTTTATCCTTCACGCACTTTCGTCTTACTTTAATAAACCGAATTTTAAAACGATGCGGCCGAAATAGGAAATTTTGAAGACTTTGGTGAAAATTGACCGTCAGTCACCCACGTTACGCACTAAAATCGTAGCGAAAGGGTTAAGGACAGGGGAAATTTGTTGAAAAGATTCTCCCGAAAAATCTTCAAATTTTGCAGAGTTGCTCTCTAGATTCAATACCTAATCTGCTGCTAATATTTCCTAAATCATTAAGTTAACATTGTGGAATTGGTTTAATAATACGTTGTGAGTGATGGCGTGAATGTGGTGTGTTTGTCGAATCGTCTCGAGATTTGGAAAACGAGCGGATCATAGAGAGAAACAGGGAGTAAAACAGTAGAACCGCGTTGTTATTGATATCAGCGAGTGAGTGAGAATTTATTGCGAGATATAATTAGAGACCGTTGATCAGATTATCATTATTCCTTTTTACGTGTGATTATAGTTGTTACGAAATTATTGTTACAAAATATATTGCTATTGAACTTATTATCACGTGTTATACAACCACATATATTAACCACAAAAATAGATAAAAGATTCGAGTGATAAAAAGTAACAAATTCTGAAGCGCAACTTGCAACGCACAATAGTACCAGTACTGAAAAACACTCTAATTAGCGTACTAATTAACCTCGTCACGAGAGACTGCAACAGTATCGTCGGAAGGTTGAGAAATTCCTCTCGAAGCGATCGAAACGAGCAGAAAGAGTTGCATAGTGGAGCGAGGGAACCCGGATGTCCCGCCCATCGGTACACGTCGTCGAAAACACGAGCAACGGGGAGGAAGGAAGAGGCACGCGGATGTCCCTAGCGGACTAGGTATAAGTTAGAACCAGTTCCCGTGGGCCGGGCTGTGTAGCGCGGGGTTCGGCGGGGTTTGTCCTCCGCGTGTTGCGCCGGTATGAATCCCGGTTGGTATGCACCGAGCGCCATAATACCCCATAAGAAATTTACCGCTCTCTAACCGGCGATGGCGTGTATACACCGTGTGTGTGCACAGGTCCAACGGAGAGGCCGTGTATCGTCGTCGGAGAGCGAACGAGAGAGGAAAACGCGACAGCCGGACGAAGATGGTTACACAGAACTCGCTGAGAAGAGGATCGACGTGGAAAGAGAAACGGAGGTTGAGCGAAGAAGAGGCGCAGAGAGTACCGGACGATGTAGAAGAGATAGAAAGAGACGACCGCAACGAAAACGAAGAGACGAAAGAGAGAGATAGGAACTGGCCCTCCCTTCCGCGCACACCGGGCCCCTGCAAAACGTAATTATGCTAATACGCGATTGGCTCGAAAATGTTAAATGCACGAAGCGCAGCACCGCGGGCTACCATGCCTCTTCCCTCATTGGTAATCCTTCTCTTTCCTCTCGTACAGTTTCTTCTCTCTGTCTGGCCCTCAGAGTGCTGTGCTCTCCGAGCACAGATATTTATGGAATCTTCTTGATCGCGCGTTCGCTGCATTCCGCTTTGCTCGGCTCGATCGTGTCTCGTCTCGTCTTAGGTTGGATCGAGGAGACCCCGGGGACCGAGGAACGTTTCAATCTTCATTACCGTCGATGCCAGTGCTGCTTTGGCACACCGTGCCAAATTGCGACCAGGTTTTGTCGCGGCTTTTCGAGAGGAACCGCCCCGATATCGCGGCGACGATCTCGCTCAAATAAATCCAACCGCCAGAACTGGGAATCGTAGAGAACCCGGATCTTTCTCGTGGGAGGAAAAAGCTACGGGGAAAGGAATATCGGTTTGGCGTCTTGATTCCGGTAGAGAGGTTTCTTGCTACCGATCCTCGACCCTTTTACAACGATCATCAGTCCGCGGGGAAAGTGACGTTCGAAGGCTTGTACACGTCGATTACTTGCAAATTTCATTTGTACGCCGATTGTTGCAAGTTCTGCTGCAAGTCGACTGTGTAATGAGCTCGATGCCTGCTTTCTTACAATCGACGGGATTTTTCTTCTTACACGTCTTTCCATTTCTATGGAGAAGGTTCGAGAGAATTGGAAGAATTGCATTTTCATGGGTGTTTCGAAGAAATTTTTTAATTTATATTACAAGTTCTTTGGAAAAGAACGTCTTGTATGGGGGCAAGATATGTTTGTTAATATGACATACATAATGCTGGAAAAACTTGGTGCGAAATTTCAGAAATTTCAAATTTTGGAAAGTTATCTTCAAAATTTTAATTAGCTCTCTGTATCTAACCAGGTTGAATCTAAAGATAATTCATTAAAAAAGCCAAATTTCTCCAAGTGACACGTTTAAATACCCTCGTTCACCTCTTCATCCCCATAAGGCTCTCCCTCACCAAGAAACATCAGGACAGAATTTACTTCCATGAATAATCACCGCGGTTACAAGGAGCAAGTTGCGCACATCCACGAGAGAAAGAAAGGAAGAGAGAGAGACATGCCATTGGCGTGTGCAGGCCGTCGTGGATTCACCGGTAGGTAGGCCCCGGCCTTTATAATAATGTAATCGCGGCAAATGAGGAAAATTGCTATAAAATTGCAGGATCGACCGGTCGATCCAGGCGGGCCTGTCGAGAGGGAGCAGCGGAGCAACACGAGGGGCGCAT